AAGGCTGCTGAATTCTAACTCGTTTACCGTCATAAGGGACGACGCCTTCAGTGGGCTTTTTCATCTGGAGTACCTGTAAGTCCACCTGCTTTTACTACATCGCGTGAAGAGTTAAAGGAATGAAGGTTTTGTTTGGGATCGTTTACAAGTAGCGACAGAAAACGTTTCTGCTCGATCGCTACTCGTGCCACGCCACAAATTCTGCCTTCTGCTGAAATTTGTGGCTGGAAGATGGCGGGTGCTGCCTCTTCGCAACCCCAACCTCCTGACACTTCACATCTGCAGATGTTCTGGTGTCTGTGTGTGTGTGTGTGTGAGAGAGAGAGAGAGAGAGAGAGCAAGGATAGGATCTTCTAATCCAGGGGTTCATAATCCTTGGCCCACTACCGGGCCTTGAGCCATTTGGAACCGGGCCACGGAAGTGGCAGGTGAGCACCTGTTTGTGTGCATCTCCACTCGCGTAAGCAGCAGGCAAGGGGATGTGCACGCAATCTGTTTGCACAAGCAATATGTGTATGTGTGTGTATGTGTGTATGTAGAATAAAAATAAGAATAGAATAGAACAAAACAGAAAATAGGAATACGAATAGGAATAGGAATTAGAATAGAATAGAATAAAATTAGAATAGAATAGAATAGAATAAGTGAAGAATAGAATAGAATAGAATAGAATAGAATAGAATAGAATAGAAGGGAATAGGATAGAATAAGTGAAGAAGAGAAGGGAAGAGAAGAGAAGAGAATAGAATAGGAATAGAATAAGAATAGAATACAATAGAATAAATGAAGAGAAGATAGAATACAGAATAGAATAAGTGAAGAATAGAATAGAATAAGAATAGAATAGAATGTGAAGAAGAGAAGGGAAGAGAATAGAAAATAGAATAGAATAAGTGAAGAATAGAAGGGAATAGAAGAGAATAGAGAATAGAATAAGAATAGAATAGAATAAGTGAAGAAGAGAAGATAGAATACAGAATAAAATAAGAATAGAATAGAATAGAATAAGACTAAACTAGAATAGAATAGAATATCTTTATTGTCATTGTATAACTCACAACGAAATTAAGTGCTGTCCACAGTGCACACTACACACAAGTAAAAACCACAAATAAGAACATACATTATATACACATATCCTTCACATTGTGCTGCCCTATGTATACGTACATGGCGTGTGCATATGTGCATTATCTATGTCTATGGGTAGCTATATACTTTCTTTTGAGAACAGACAACAGAATTTCATTTTTAATGCGGGCCAGGCTGCCCACAGTAAAAACAACAAAGCAATAAAAGCTACCTTATCTACTTTATCTATCCTAAAGGGTCAGTAATTCTCCTCCTTTACATTTTCTCTGTTCTTTGCTCTTGAACATCCTGCAGTTCTGGTGGGTTTTTTTTTTCTTTTTTTCTCTCTCTTAACCTCTTCTTTTTTTATGCCTCTTTATCCCTCTGCACAGATTTATCGAAGGGAATAAAATTGAAACCATTTCGAGGAACGCTTTTCGTGGTCTTCGAGACTTGACTCATCTGTAAGTTGTTGTTTTTAATACTAATTTATTTCTTGCTTAAAACTGAACATTCTGTTATGTTCACATACATGTAGTCCTCAACTTATGACAGTTTGATGACCATTCAAAGTGAAAAAAGTGACTTATGACCGTTTTTCACTCTTAATGACCCTCGCAGTTTCCCCACAGTCACCTGATCAAAACTCAGATGTGCTCGGCAGCTGATTCATATTTATGACGGTCGCAGTGTCCCCAGGGTCACGTGATCTCCTTTTGACCAGCAAAGTTGGGGGGGGGGAAGCAGGATTGCTTAACAACCAGGTTATTAACTTCTCAGCTGCAGTAATTCATTTAACAACGGTGGCCAGAAAGCTCACAAAATGGGGAAAAACGCGTTTAACAAATGTTTCACTTAGCCACATACATTTTGGGCTCAATTGCGGCCGTAATGCGAGGCCTTCACCTGTATTACCTGGGCAGGGCTAGGCAACCTTGGCTCTTTTATGACTGGTGGACTTCAACTCCCAGAATCCCTGAGCCAGCATGGCTCAGCATGGAAACCTCTCCCTTTCCGCTCAGCATGGCTGGCTCAGGAATTCTGGGAGTTGAAGTCCACGAGTCATGAGGGGGCCATAGTTCCCCCATGCTGGCTCAGGAATTCTGGGAGTTGAAGTCCACAAGTCATAAAAGGGTCAAGGTTGCCTACCCCTGGGTTAGTGCATTGGATACGTAGCTGTAAACTAACCAGCAATGTCTAGATTTTGCGTGTCAAACTCAGACCGACAATAAACTTTGTTTGGAGTCAGGTTTTGGAAGGCCTTTAGGTCAGGTTTTCAGCTCTCTGTCCCTCAAAGATCCTCATCAGCCTTTCCAAAATGGGTTTTGTAGTGCTTATTGACATTTTTCCCCCCTACTGTAATAACATTCCTAGGCAGCTATGTCTTGTCTGTAGCTAATCAGTTTTGAACTGGAACAATGGATCTAAGTGGATTAAAAGGTTTTTATGATTTCTTAGGCAGTATTTTGATCAGATCTCTGCAGAACCTCAGAAATTAGTTATCCGTTAAAGATTGGACAGCTAAAGGACTAATGAAAATGCATCAAAATTTTATCGTTCAAGACATGCTGTATAAGATAATATGTGATGCGATGTTCTTTAAAAAAAAAATATCCCAGTGGATTCCCAGTGTCGGACCTTCTGAAATGTTTGGGATTTCTGTCCCACTTTAAAAGTTGTTACTAATTTTGTCCATAAATCCTCTTTATTTTCTACATCAACACTGGGACTGGAGAACCTGCCATTGGTTCTCATTAATAATAACATCCCTGTGAGCGTGACTGAATTCAGTTTCTATCTACACGGCCTCAAATGGTTTTCAAAATTATTGCAACGTCTAACTTTGCTTTTTCCAGCTCTCTCGCCAATAACCAGATTAAAGCTTTGCCAAGGGACATCTTCAGCGATTTGGATTCTCTGATCGAACTGTAAGTAAATTGTAATCCGCGTTGTTGTTGCTTTGTGGATTTTAACCTTGATCTCAGCATTCGGAATTTTTATTTTAGCTGTTTGGACTTGAAATTGGGGATAACGAGGAACTTGTTTCTTCTCATTCATTGGCTGAGTCTGTGCTTGATTTAAATGCTTTTCCTTTGATTAATGTACTTATTTGAAATATATCAATATTGCTAGGATGTACCATGTCATCCCCATGGTCATGGGATTAAAATTTGGATGCTTGGCAACTGCCTTCTTGTGGCAAATAAATAACATCCACAACAGAAAGCACTTTTATTAATTAAGCTTCATCGACAAACAACGTCTTTCAGCACCTCGTCTTTAAAAATCCCTTCCTGTTACTTCTTATTTCTTGTCCACTGTAAAATCTGCACCGTTTTGCGTATTTCTAAACGAAAACTTAACAAGGATTGGTTGACGTTGGGTTCCAACGTCTTTGCGAGAAAAATGCCTTTCTTTTTTAATGTGTTCTCAGAGACTTGAGGGGAAACAGGTTTGAGTGCGACTGCAAAGCCAAGTGGCTGTTTTTGTGGTTAAAGATGACAAACTCCACCGTTTCCGAAGTCCTGTGTGTTGGTCCGGCAGAATTTCAAGACAAGAAATTAAACGACGCCTTGAGCTTTGACGATGAATGCACCACTACAGGTATCTGGTGCATTGTAGTCGTAAATGAACGTTTGACTTCCCACGGGGCTCTTAGTATTTTGGGCACGGTAGTATAAATGCGCTGTTGTTTTAAATTGTCCCATTATTCTTCGCGTGGCTACTGATCGCAGATTAATCAAAAGGATGATATTAAGAGGTAATTGACTGAAGGTCTTGTGATGGGTCAGGTGTGAGTCATCAGAGAGAGGCTGGTAATGGGTCTTGTGTGATGGGGAGGTCAGGGTCATTGGAGGGTGTGAATTATCTTAGGCAAGGTTCAGAAATGAAAGGATTGGAGATAAAAAATGAAAAATATAAATTACAAGCATTTGCAGACAATTTGGTCTTTATACTAGAACAGGGGTAGGCAACCTTGGCTCTTTTATGACTCGTGGACTTCAACTCCCAGAATTCCTGAGCCAGCCATGCTGAGGGGAAAGGGAGAGGTTTCCAAGCTGAGCCATGCTGGCTCAGGAACTCTGGGTGTTGAAGTCCACCAGTCATAAAAGAGCCGAGGTTGCCTACCCCTGCCCTAAACTCTACTGAAGCTGTTTTACCCAGCCTGGTAACGAAATGTTCAGAAACCAACCCATAATAAGCTTGGAGACCCAACCTCCACCCTCATCCTCCACCCGAGCTACAGATATTTGCCACTATTTCCAGTAAGCGATCAACAACTTCCTGTATCCTGCCGAGTTCCATGGTAACATGTCTGTTTTCAATTAAATATGATTACAGATTTTGTTGTCCATCAGATTTTGCCCTATCAATCAGTGTCGATTGACACATTCAACTCTAACAACGATGTCTATGTTGCCATCGCACAACCCAATATGGAAAACTGCATGGTGCTAGAATGGGA